TTGATTTTTTTTTATTATATAATTATTATGAATGTGAAGAAACTTTATTTAGGATTAGAAATATTAAGAGTGTGATGATTTTAAGAGGTTTTAATGGCTGAACGACTCATTTTCTTTGAAATTAAAAGTGTAAAAATTGCGTGTTTTTTAAACATTTAAGTGATCTCAAATTTTAAAAATTATATATAAAGATTTGGATGAGTGATTGACAAAGAAGAGGAAGAATAAGCCCAGTTAAACTTGTGTTTTTCAACTGGTGTCGAAAGCTCTTAAACCTTTCTTATTGTTTGAGCTGTGGCATGGACTTTTAGAGTTTGAGTTTTAAGTGCTTTAATTGAGCATTTTAGAGGGATTTAAGTAGTCTCAATTTTATATAATTATCTAAAGATAAAAAACAAAACATAGAAATGAAAAAGATTGACAAAAAAATTAAAAAGGACAAGAGTAGCTCCTCAAATACTCCATAGTATTTACTATGGAGTTTTGACCTTTTCAAAAAAAATTCCCTTTTTTTAAAAAAAATTTAATTTAGTTGAGTTGATTTTTTAATTCTAAATTAATTGAAACTTTTTTAAAACTCAAAATAAAAAATTGTCCAAATAGTAAGGAGTACTAAACTAACTCGATTAATCTCTGAGACAACTTGAAACCATTTCTCTACTCTTTCTTCCCTTTAAAAAAAAATGAATTATTTCATTTTTACGTTTTATTTGTTGAAGTAGACGGGGGAAGGATTGTGCTTGGTTGGATTAGGCCTTCTATGTTCCAATAAAGTGGCCCAATGACAAGAGGTCATTTTCTTGATGAACCAATAATATGGCCCAAAGGGCTTTTTTTTTAGTTAGCCCAATATATGGTCTATAAATGTGCACCCTGCACCAGAACCGTCCGATTCAGGTCTCTTGTAAGTTCTATATCACAGCCATATTAATGTGCTACGTTTCCATACCATACAGAGTCTGAAAAAATGTTCAATAATATTTTATTTATTACTATAATTTTTTTTTGTTAATTACTGTTTTGAAATTATTATACAAACCATTATCCATCTGAAATATGTTGGTGCTTTTTTCCCATTCGTGTCCTTTTTTATTCAGACTATAACAGGTCTAAAAAAACTATTTACCAATTCTCTTCGTGCGAATTTCGTTCATTATTTTACCAGTCCGGTTCTAAATTGAATTATTTTTTGTTTAAACCATTCATTGATGGTCTAAAATATTTCGGTTTGAATAATCTATTTTTCTAGTAGTGGTTGTGTAGAAACTCTCAAACAAAGCCTTTAACTCCAAATTTAAAATTGTCTAAATAGCTCATGAAAAAAAAAAAAAAATCTAAGTAGAAAGCACACTAAACTAAATATATTAGTCTTTGAGGCAACTTGAAACCATTTCTCTACTTTTTTTTTTTTTTTAAAGCAATTATTTCATTTTTACCTTTTAGAATTGTGCCCAGGGTGGGTATTTTTTGGTACAAGTTTGGTTTAAAAATCTTTTAGTATAGCTTTCTAGATTTAGTATCTACATAAATATTTGAAGACCTATATTTGGTATTTAACTCAACAAATACCAAGTAATTTGTGGGTATATACGTATATATTGAGTTTAAGGAAAAAAAATGTATAATATTAGATATTGTTATTGCATGTGTTACATGTTGGTTAAAGGTTTATTATTTATACGAGTTATTATTTTTGTGTGTATGATTTGTTTGGATTATAAGCTTTACTTAATTTTTATTTCTATTTTTTGTATTTTATTATTTTTATTTTTAAAAATTATTATTATATAAATATTAAGTATAATAAGTACATATAAAATTTCAATTATATAAGTATAGTTAACAAATCAGCTAAACGAGTTGGGTAAACAATCTTGTGCTCCAATATTTATTACTTGATTTGATATTTATGAGTATGTTATTTTTATATTTATTACTTTTTTTTTTACAATTTAAATATATTATTCAGTCAAATAAATAAAGTATTTGTTGTATCAAAAAAAAAAAAAAAAGTATTTGTAATTAACGGGTGTATCCATGCACGAAGCTCACCCATTTGTGCTTGGTTGGATTCGGCCTTCTCCACTCCACTATATCCCAATAAAATGGGCCAATGACAAGAGGTCATTGTCCTGATAAACCAGTAGAATGACCAAAAGGGCTTTGTTAACGGTTGGCCCAATAGATTGGACACGTTCTAGGGCCTATAAATCTGTGCCCAATAGAATTGTACTGTTATTTTTAAAAGGTTAAACCCCCAATTTTGTCCCTCAACTATTGTATGGACCTTCGATTTGGTTCTTAAACTAAAATCCCTAATTTGGTTATTACTGTTTACCCATTTAGCTCCGAGTTGGTCATTTCGTATAAAAACAAATAAATTGATAATTAGTAAAAATTAAATTAAGGATTTTTTTAGTTTAGGAATCAAATTGGGGTCAATCTTTTTTAAAAACTTTTAGCATTCCCTCCCCCCACCAAAACTTAAGGTGAGCTTTTATACGTACAGATTAAATAGGAATTATATTTGATATTTGATTTAAAAATTATTTTATATAAATGTTTTTATACAACTTTTTAGATTGGATACCTATTTAAATACTCAAAAACCTATACTTGGTACTTAATTCAATAAATACTAAGTAGTTTACAAACATATACTTATGCACTTGATTTACAAAAGAAAGGATTTAATATGAGATATTATTGTTACGTGCATTATGTGATTAGCTTAAAGTTTTATTATTTATATGGGTTATTATTTTTGCATATAATTTGT